GTGGTGCCTCGCAGGTGAAGGTCAGCCCCCGGACTCGGAGGCCCGGGCCTCCCCTCCCGGGGCGTGTGTTCCCGCAGGTGACAGTGCCCCACGGACAGGGGCCGGCAGTGCTCAGGGAGGTGGGGCCGGCACCGTTGGGCGGGGCGAGCACCACGGCCACAGGCGGGCAGAGAAGTGACCGGGACACCCCCAATTCCTCCCTCCCCCCCGCCAGGGCCGCTCCTGAGAAGCCTGTGCCGTGGCCGAGGCTCCTGGGGCGCCCCGACTTGCCCCAGCACGGCGCGGGCTCGGCCTGGGAGGCGTCTGCCGCTCACTGAGCGCGACTTGGCCCGCTCCAGAGGCCCAGGGGCCGCAGACGCCGCCAGGCGCCCCCCGGGGCACCGCCCGGCACTGACTTGTTGATGTTGCTGCCCTCCTTCAGCCTGTCCCCCGCGGCCCCGGTCTTCGTGGCTCGCTCGCTGCCTGCTAAGTCCACCAGGCTGAGTTTGCCCACCTTCTCGCCGGACGTCTGGAAGGGAAGCGACAGTCAGGACAAGGGGCAGCCGCATCGGTGACGCCCGGCGCTGACAATAACAGCTGCGCGGCGGCACGGCTAACGTCACGCCACCGCCGCCTCACTGTGCGCACCGCCAGCGAGGAAGACATTTACAACTTTTACTGATACAGATAAATGCGGTAAATGAGTCGGGCCCTCCTGGGGGCGCAGGGCTTAAAGCGCAGCACTGTGAAGCTGTCCGCAGCCACTGCAGCTCCAGTCCGATCCCCGCCTGCCCCGGAGGTGACCCATGGCGGGCAGCAGGCCCCCCTGACCGCCCGCTGCCCCCTCAGCAGTGTGCTTCGTCAGCCGACCTGTTCTGCTCCCCACTCTGTCTCTGGTGAAGCCTCTCACCCCTGCACCTCTGGCCTGTACCCCAGTTCTTGTGTGCACAAATAAATAAATCTTTAAAAAAAAAAAAACAATAAACGAGTCTGGCTTTACACAACATAAGGACCCCTCCACCACTTGACGCTTCCTGTAACTTACTATTCATGCACGGCGGCCCCGTTTTGTAATTTCAGGAATTAAATAACACGATTTTTAGAGATGGCGTATAGACGTCTCTGTATCCACACAACAGACAGCCCCTTAGGGGAAATGTCCCATTATCAAATTGCACCTTACAGATACTTTACACTCAGGGACAATACAGGAAGTGGGCGGCGGGGGACAGACACCACCAAAATCCATAGCCGGGGTCATTTTCATTTCTTAAAATCTTCTGTTAAAATATACATTTTTGTTTATTTCCATAAATAACTGTGGCTAACAAAAGGATATTGAGCTTTCCAAATCAAAAGTCCTCTGGGTGAAAAAAAAGCTTTTCAGTATGTTTTTTGTTTTATGCTAAAAAGGAAATAAGAAACAAAGGACTTTCTGTTGTTCCACTAAACTTGTGATGGTAAAAAAAAAAATATGCTTTCAGCGAGTAAAGATCTTGCCAAAGTAGACCGTTTTGCCAGCGAGATGATCCTGCCCCTGCTGCCTGACAGTGGCTGGCCGGGCGGGTGGGGGTCGCTGCTTCCGGCCCTCCAGGCTCACCCACCTCTGGCTCCTCTCTCTCGCGCCCCTTAAGCTTTACCGCCAAACAGTCAAAGCATCTCCCCACAAATGCAGCCTTTCTTGTAGGGCGTCCCCAGGCAGCATCTCCGAAGTTTCCCCACCCAGGGCCCAGGCCACCAGCCCGAGTGACCTCGGTCCGCTCCCTGGGCTGGAGGGCGTGAGCGAAACCACCCTTCCCACGGCCCTGCAGCAGGGGCTTCCGCGGAGTCTCTGTCAATCAGAGCGTGGAGGCGGTCAGCCCGGGAGTCACCCCGGGGCTCCGGTCAGAGCGCAGGCCTCCTCGGGTGTTCCCACGACCACGGAGTCGCCTGTCCCCCGAGAGCAGCCCCAGTTTCTCGGGGAGTCCCGGGGGCACCCTCAAGTCATCAAACACCTGAAGGGAGTAAGAGAAACCCCGACGCACGTCCCACGCGTGAGGCGGAGAATACCTACCCCAGACCTCGCGTCGTACAGGGTGTGCGTGAGGCTGATCTTGAAGACGGCGTGGGAGCGGCTGCTCTCCTCGTTCATGTTGGTGGCGGCAACCGTGCGGGACTTGTTGCCCTCGGACATCAAAGACTCAATGTCCTGAGGGGAAACGGCAGAGACACGTCACCTGCCACGGCCCCGGGGCCCGAGGCACGACTCACCCACATTTGGCGTTAGGCTGAGTCTCGGGCACAGCGAGCCCCCCCCACCAGGGCAAACGCGGGCTGGAAACGCAAGTCGAGTTATTATTTCTGCAGGTGCAGAGAACGGGGCCGCTGTGACTGGGCCAGGCGGCGGGAAGCCCACGGAGCCCCCAAAGCGGACACAGACGCGTGGCCAATCCCGCCCACGCTACAAGTTTGGAGAAAGGAATTCGTGTCCTTCGTAACAGAAGCTGTCGGGGCAAGTTAGATCTTGCAGGCCGGAAAGCCAGGTTTAGCCTCCCGTGGACGAGGGACCCGACGGCCCGTCCAGGGACAGGGACGCAGAGCCGGGCCCCGCCGGGCAGAACGGGAGCGATACGGCAGCGGGGAGGCCCCGGGGCGCCATGCTGGGGAAAGCTGCAGGCAGACGCGGTTCCTGAACCACAAGTGTTTTAGTTTCAACAAAACAGGCAAGAAGGTCTTGTCAGTTGTGACGACGTGGCTGCCACGGGAGGGGACGGCGCTCAGAGAGGCAAGTCTGCAGGACAGACGGACACCGGGGTCCCCTCCATGCGGGGTGTCAGGAAACGGACTCCGACTCAGAGCCGAGGCTGCCGAGCCCGCGACGGCGGTGCCGGTGGGGGGCTCTGGTGGGGTGTGCTGCGGCCACAGGCATCCCAGGAGGGGAACCCGCAGCCCTGAAGCAGATCGTGTTGAAAGCCCCGTGGCCTCAATAAGGCGACTCAGTGTGTCTGAAATGTGTGTGCACCCCTCTGCTAGAGGGGCCGGCTCACAGGCAACAGCGAGGAGCCGTGACAGCCTTTGCAGGACGGCAACGAGGAAGGAGACGGACGGCACGAGGCGACAACGTGCTCGCCTCTCCCTGCCAGTGAAGGGGCCTCGTTCCGGAGCACGTGGCGGCCAAGCGAACGGACTACATTTCCCAGCTGCCCTTGCAGCTCACGCTGGCCACAGGACCGCACGATGCTGAATGCGAGGTACAGCGCAGAACAGGTCCACCTGGGAACTCCCTGAAGGTGGGGGCCTGCTAAGGCCAGCGTGGACATGGAATAGGGCGTCCCCACGGCTGGCTCCCTGTGGAGCACCACCGCGAGGCGCTCGTGCACTAGCACCCCGGAGCTGTCCAGCCAGACCCCAGCTTGCCCCTTTGTCTTCTACCACGATCACGCGTCCATGTATTCATTTATCCACCCAAATAGCTTTGGCAGCACCTGCGTACGCCAGGTACATTTTAAAATAGTGAGAATACATAATGAACAAAACAGATAGTGATTCAGACTCCAAACAAGTCAAATCCTGCAATAGCCTTTGTTACAAGCAGTCAAACAAAATCCTGATACACAGCTATGAAAAATTTTGAAGCTCCTAAGCTTCTCTTTTGTGCACAGGAAAAAGAATAATGTGTAAGAATAATGTTAAGAAAAATTCCACACCATAAATAAAAAGCCTTAAGGTGAAAATGTTAACCGCAAAAAAAGAGGTGTAAGCAGCACCAGAAAGGAAAAACAACTGACGGCAAGATGCAAACTTCTCTAGACCTGTTCCAAATCCACTTGGGCCCAGAGGTTTGCCCCAAAAATTTCCTCCTAGGACCCTGCATTTACTCATTGGTTGCTGATCTACTGTCTCATGCACAAACCGGACACTTTTACTTGTTGAATAAGTGAGATCTCTTTATACTCTCCAGTCTCCCGAGTTCTTGATGAAATATAATCTCTCGCAAGACTGAGTCCTCAAATGATCATCGCTAAAACAACAATGAACATTCATCGAGAGAAGGATTCATAGAAATCCTCTAGAATCTTCAGACTTCTCCCACACGTTATCTCATCTGCCCTCCTCCAGGAAGCCCTCCTGGACAGCACCCCCGACACGTCCCGGTCCACGTGAGCGCGGTGCCCTCCTCCAGTCTCTGCGCGCTGAGCCTGAACTGTCTTGCGACACTGCCAGCACCTGCGGGCGCCCGAGGGGGCCTGCCTGTGCCGCGCACAGCACCGGTGAGTGCGAGGTACCGCGCAGGTGAAGTGCCGCTGCCCGAAAGACGGAACGGGTTCGTGAGCAAACGGACACACCTCTTCGGGCAGCCTTCCGTCCGTTTAGGACCGAGAGGCCGGCGAGGCACGCGACGCGGGCACCGAGTCGTGTTCTGGGATTGCTACGCCAGAGCGCCTCACCCCACCAGCCCTGTGTCTCCACACACAAAGCCTGATGGACTCGCACAAAGCAGAACTGTGAAGCTTGAAAATGCAGAGGACGAAAACCTAAAGGTCACTGAGCTCTTCTCAAATTAGCAACAGGCTTTGAATTCCAGCCACTCAACTCTTACTTCACAAGTCAACATGGTCATGAGCAGCTATGAGAGATCTACGGACCCCTGGAAGGAAAGAGAAAGCTGCCAGCGTGATTCCAAGAGGCCACTGGAGGCACTTCGGGGTCCCCGAGATCACGGCCTTGAGAGGTGCGTCTCCCACGGGAACAGGCGCCCGCCGACACGCACCCCTGGCGGTTACACTCTCTCGGCCTAGGAGCCTTGACAATAAAAGATGCTACAGAAATTACTTAGCAAGGGGCGTTGCTGTGGTTTTCTCTTTTAATTTCGGGACAATCGTCATCACCGTTGCAGCGGGGCGCGTTACCTTGTAGCTCCTGACCGCCAGCTTGGACAGGCCGTCCACGTAGGGCCCCAGCACGCTGTGCTCTCGGACTTTCAGCGTCTGGCGGCTTCTGGGGTTCAAAACAAAGAACCGACATTTAAACGATGACGCGTCTCTCACAGGACTCCTCTGTGCCCCCTAAAACTCTATCCTGGCTTCAACAGAGGCCCCGAATCAACAGCTGGCTGGCCCCAGGACTGAGACCGGGCTTGAGCGTCCTGCCTGGCAGGCGGGAAGGGTGACGGCGCCGCGGGGGCAGTCATGGCGCAAGCCGCTCCTGGTCAGCCGCAGCCCGGGGCGCACAGCTCAGCCCTGCGCCTGGACACTCACGCCCGCCGGCGCGCTGACGGGCCGGGGCCCTCGGGCACCTGGGTCAGCGTCGGAAAGCCTGGACTCCACGTCAACCGCCGCTCACGACGAAACTCTGAGGGCAGGAGCCGCGAGCCCGGCAGAGCCTGCGGGCACCTGGCTGGCAGCAGCCCGCGGGGACTCGCCCCGACGGCAGAGGGCTGATGGCCGAGGAGAGCGACCGCGCGAAGAGAGGCGCTTTCGGGAGACAGACGCCACCCTGAGCCAGTGACGTGCTGCCAGGAGACAGCACCGGCCCTCACGGCGGGATCGCGGCTCCAGGCTCAACCCCGACACCCCACCACAGCCCTAAGCCTGCGCCTCGCGCACAGAGCAGAACCTGGCGGGCCACAGAGCAGCGGGGGGTCCTCTCAGAGGCGAGGCGCAAACGCGGGGCAGAGGCGGCAAGGCGCCCGCCGTGAGCCCACGCTCCTGGCCTCCCACCCGCGGCCTCCCGCCACTCGGGCCCTGACTTCCCGGCCCCGCCCCGCCATGCCGGGCCCTCCCCACCCAGGGGTTCCCTGCCCCTGCCTGGCCGCAGTGCATCTGAGCGGCCGGGCTCCTCGTCGGCACGGAGTTCACCAGAGCCCCGGCGCCCGTCCCTCCCCCTGGGCAGTGAACCCTCGCTCTGGGCTTTCACCTCTGGGACAGGCGCCCACACGCCAAGGCACCGCAGCCCCGGGGTCAGCAGGCTTCCTCACCGTGAGCGCCCCTCGCCCCCGGTGCTCAAGGCAAAGCCCAGAACCGGATGCAGCAAGTCAGGCGAAAACTGGACAAGAGCCAGAAGGTTCCTCCTGGAGCTCCGGACAAATCCCTCCCCGGAGCCGACATCAATTCCGTTTCTTGCCACGACACCGAAGCATCGACGTCTGCGGCCCACTTACCCTTTGGGGTCCAGAAGGTCTCGGACTTTTTCATTATAAATTTCCATATAGGACACTTCCACTTTAAAACTCTGCTCTTCGTTCTCCTCTCTGTGAGTCCGCTCAAAGAGCCCGCTGCAGAGCCTGGGGATCAGCCCGGGCTGGCCGGCCGTGCCCATCATGGTGTACGACTTCCCGGAGCCTGGAAGCGAGAGCCGTGAGCGCTGCCCCTGGACATCCCGGCGTGACCTCCCCGCGGCGCGGAGCGGGGCCGCTCTCAGCGCAGCTCCCCAGGGCGGTGACGCCCAGGCGCAACGGTGCCTGGCCAGCGCACGAGGCACCCCCATGCCGGCAGGCAGCCGCCTTCCGGGAGAAGACAGCGCCACGTAGGCCAGCGCCGTGTTTTTTAAAAAGTCACCACAGAGCCCCCAAAAGATAGCGAGGCGGGCAGGCTCCTGCGCTAAGTGGGGACAAAGGGCCAGTCACACTCAGACCGACGCGCGGGGCCCGGGGACGCCGCGGCCTCTGGCTCGCTCCACTGCCTTCTCCGCCAGGCCGAGGCACGCGCTCACGAGGGGAGCTCCAGGAAGAACAGGGAATCAGCAAGGAAAATTCAAATTGCTCATGGTCAACCTGAAATAGACCCCTTCTCCCTTTCTCAGCAGTTTGTGAACACCGTGCAGCCTCCACTCTGGCCTCGGCTAACACTGCCCGCTGGTGAGGAGCTCGCAGGGAGCACCTCGACTGTCACCCGCTCCGAACACGGGGGACACCGGGGCGAGCTCAGCTGCAGGGGCGGGGCGGGGCGGGCGGGGCGGCCC